GCGATCCCCCCCGAAATGACCTCTGAAGGTGCGTAAAATGGTTTTATTTCAGAGTGCATTCGGTGGAGGATAAACCCTTTTGGCAGATCTGGCTGTAGGTTGTTTTTATCTTGTTAATGGATTGTTTCTAAGTGTTTGCAATATTGTTGCTTTGTTAGCTGCCTTGAGTCTTGGGAGATAAGGTGGGATATAAATATTTTAAATATTGCATAGGGTAGCTACTGTACTAAATTAATATACTGAAGTGGCAAACATATCTTTCTCTGATATTACTGCACTTTTCTCCCTAACAGTGTTATACTGAGTAATAGAGTTTTTATTTCAAATTGTGAAAAATACAGACATCATTTAAACAACACTTTAGACATCAATTTCAAAGCACAAAAGTAAAATGCAGTTAGACTGTTACAAGGCAAGTGAGAACTAAGAGGGGGGGGGGCAAAGAACAAAAACATGCCAGCAAAGGACCAGTGCAATTTACAAAGTCAAGAACTAATTTACAAAATGTACATTATATAATTTAAAAATAATAATAATATATCAATTACTACTAGAAGTCATTATAACATTTGATGGACTTTTCATGCGCTGTCAAAACATATGGTTACTTACACTGCAAGATATATCTCAAAAACTCATGCATAATTTCAACTATTCTTCCTAGCTTTCCTATTTTAACAAGCAATTAATATTGCATTCTGTATCTGATTCTAAAAGCACCATGTAAATATCACATATGATTAATTAAACACTTTTCTAGTGGACATCTATTCATGCCAAGTAATTTAGAAATAATACTAAACAGTTTGAACAGACAGGAATTTGGCTCCAATTCAAGGAAAGCACTAAGATGTTTAAAAAAAATACCTCAACAGAGCTGCCTTTTTCAGACAAAGAACCTTTCTTCCCCTCTGGCACACAAGTTTGGGAAGAGAGCCAAGGTGCTACTTATCAGCTGTTTGACATCAGGGGAGGACTTTGTGCGTCAGTAGGCCCAGTAGGGACTCCTGGCTAATGGCAATAGACCATGTGGTTTTTATCAGTTTGTAAAGTCTGGCACTTCAACCATTACAATGTGAAAAGGGAAGGGTAGGAAAGGAAGGTAGTTTAAATGAAAGAAAAGTATTGAAGGCTTCTGAGGCTAATGCAGGCTAGTTTCCTGTAGTGCATATCTTTGGGAATAATCACCCTTTCTTTGATTTAAGCTCTCTTCACACCTCACCTAGTAATTTCACTAGAACAAAAGGGCTCAAAGGGAGGATAACTAATTCCAGTAGTGATCATTCATTCATAAACAGGAGTATACACCCGCGGGGTAAGTGTTAAACAGAGGATAGGCTGCTATGTCCCAGTTTTCTTAATAGGTGTCATCATTACGTATATTCATGCTTGGTATTTACTTTCAGACCCAAAGACCCATGTTTTATCTATTCTGTGGTGCATCGGGTTGTTCAATGGAGGCACTACGTATAAACATTCTCAGAATTCTTGGATATAAGGGTCAGAGAGAATTTTAACTCTGAAACAATCCACCGCAGACAGCATACGGATTGTTTCCCAGTTGCATAACTGGAGTGGAAGCAGTATCTGGGCTAGAAGATATGCTGACAGGCAAAGCTCGCTCACTAAATAGAAAAGTAACTTTTGTAGCCTCAACGATACACAGCAGAATGACACACTAGCACCTCAAATCTTTTTCCTACATTGCACTGTTAAAAAATAATGTTGTTAAAATGACAAATATACATAACTGCCCTCAGAAATCTTGTCAATCTTATTATTTTGTGGAGCTTTCACTAAAATTTCTGTATGTGTTTCATATGAGCATGTTCCAATAAATTTGCCGTGATTTTTGCTTTAGAGAGTATTTGATAAGCAAGAAGTTTGCAACCCCTACCCAATACATACTTCAAGAAATTTCACTATATTCAATGGGCATTAATTTCTATTTAAATTTCTACAGATATTTTGCTTGACCCTGCACATTTGGCTTACATTTTACAATGTTTTGCTTCTCATCTTGTTGCTCAGTGAAGTACAACTTCATCTCTATAAGTAAAACTAGCCAGTCTTTAAACCAAGTACTGTAACACCGAATCCTTCCTCTCAGTTCAAAATGACTATTAAGTAGGGATGGGCCCGTTGCCCTCCTTTTTGCATGCCTAAAAGAACGGTGCAAGGCTTCCAACTGTAGCAGTGCTGAAGTTTGGAAGTGTTCTAAGAAGTAAAATGTCACTATTTCTAAATGCCTCTGAAGCCAATACAATACCAGAGAACAAAAGGAAGCAACTACAAATGTTGGCTAGCTACACAGGCCAATGGAAATTTGTATTTAACCCTTACATCTTATGTCATTTGTCTGACCTAAGTAGCTCCAAACTCTCCTGTTAGCCCTGTGGGGAGTGGAAATTATGTACTATACAAGGGGACAGCAAGGCTGGCATCAGCATATCCTGAGGTAGGGCAACAGGCAGGGCCCACTGCCACCGATCCGCCCACCCGCCTGCCCACCCATCCTTCCCCACCTGCTTGCTTGCAAGCATTCTGCCATTCATGTTCCCAAACATACACACTGCCCAGCATCGTCAGGGAATTGTCAGGTACTCCAATAACTCAGTAACAACACACAGGACCTAAGTAGGTTCAGTTTATTGATCAGAGTGGAGGACACTCCATGAACTTCTGTGTTAGGAATAACGTAAGATACACGGGCTAAACAGTTATACCCCATTCGTATAAGACCCCCTGATGAGCAGAGGCCAATGAGCAAATACCTGCAAGCATGGGGAAAAGCTAACGGACTCAGTGAGGGCGGGAGACTGGCAAAGGAGGCAAGACGGAGAATCCAGGCGCTCAAGGCCACGGAGAGATAACAAGGTAACAGGGAGAAAACAGCTGCAGGGAAAAGCGGGGTGGCAAAGCGCAAACCCACACATCCTAGCACTGGAGACATCCCATGGCAGTGTCAACCAACAGGAATGAAACACTGGCCCTTACCTGAAGGTTTCTTCTCTTCAGTGATCCTAGCACTGGAGACATCCCATGGCGGTGTCAACCGACATCCCGCCCCCCAAGTCCCCCCCACTTTAGATGGGAAGCAAGCATGGAAGCTACGCACCAGGCAAGGGGCATTAACATCAGATGCTTTCACCCATTCCCTATATTGCGGCCCAAAATCCACCCTCTCTACCAAATACTGCAAAACCCCATTCTTTAAGCGACAGTCCAAGATGTGAGTGACTTCAAAATGTGGCTGACCATCCACCATCGGGGGGGGGGGCGCACAGGGAGTTCTGGGAGCCAGATGTTGGTCCCTTGGTCCTTCCTGAAGAGAGAATAGTGAAAGACAGGGTGCACATGCTTCAGATTCTTAGGCAACTCGAGTTCAACAGTTACATTGTTGATTTTGCGGACAACTGGGAATGGACCAATGTAGTTCCACCCCAACTTGCGACTAGGTTGGATACCCCTCAGATTCTTCATAGAGATATACACCGTGTCCCCCACCCAGACCTCCCAACCCAGCTGCCGTTTACGATCGGCCTGGGCCTTGTAGGCGGCTTTAGCTTTATTCAAGTTTTTTTCCAAGAGAGGCCAAGCAGTTTGAATTCATGTCCACCAGTCAGTCACGTTCCCCCCACAGCTGCCGGTCCGTGGGCAGAAGAGGGAGGGGCTGGCCCTCATAACCATGAACTGCCATGAACAGGGAAACCCCCGTGAACATGTGAACCGCATTGTTGTAGCAATATTCAGCAAAAGGGAGTAAATCCACCCAATCATCCTGTTGGAAACTAGTGAAGCATCTCAGGTACTGTTCCAGGGTTTGATTAACTTGCTCGGTTTGGCCATCAGACTCTGGGTGATGGACACTGCTGAGACCTCGTTCCACCCCCAACACCTCCAGGAGTCCTCCCCAGAACTTAGCAACGAATTGGGGGACCCTGTCGGAGATAACCTTTAGGGGAATGGAATGCAACCTCACAATATGTTCCATGAACAATCGTGCTAGAGCTTTAGCCGTAGGCAGCTACTTAAGAGGTGTGAAATGAGCTTTCTTGGAAAACAGGTCAACCACCACCCAAAATCACGGATTTCCCTTTGCTAGGTTAGGTGGTACGTTGGTGATAAAATCCATTGAGACCACTTCCCAAAGTCTCCCGGGAGTTGGCAACGGCTTGAGCAATCCAGGAGATTTCCCCGGGCAGGGCTTGCACATCAGGCACACCTGACAGGATTGTATGTAAAGGGAAACATCATTGCGCAGGTCCACCCACCAGAACTGGCGTTGTAGTAAATGCAGCGTTTTTAAGTAGCCCAGATGCCCCGCCAGTTTAGATCTATGTGCCGCCTCCATCACCTGACCCCTAAGAGCACCCGGGATGAACAAATGGTGCCCCTTATACCAACAGCCGTTCACATGTTGCTCCAGAGTCCCCACCCCCTCCACCTCCATGTGATCAGTGTCAGAGAAGGCGGAGGTAAACTCCACAGTCCAATCCTTCCCCCCTAGGGGTGCGTCCACCTTGGCACCACTGCGCATCACCACCGCCCCTCCCAACTGAGAGGGCATGAACATGGAGTCCAGTACCTCCTCTCTGTGGCTGTCATGTTGCGGGAGGCGGGACAAAGCATCCACTAATGAATTAGCCTTCCCCAGGAAGTGGTGGAGAGTGAAACGGAACTTGGAAAAGAAATCGGCCCACCGAAGCTGCTTAGCATTCAGGTTTTGGGGGGTTCGCAAGACTTCCAGGTTTTTATGATCAGTCCTCACCTCGAAAGGTATCCAAGCCTCCTCCAATCAATGCCTCCAAGTAATACGGGCGAGCTTGATAGCCCCCGCCTCCTTGTCCCACACTGCCCAGTTACGCTCAGTGGAGTTAAACTTGCGGGAAACATATGCCAGGGGCTGTAATTTCCCACCCGCCCCTTCCTGCAAAATGCCCCCACTCATCAGAGGCATCGACCTGGACTATGAATTTCTTATGTTAGTCAGGGTGAGCCAACACCGGTTCAGACGTAAACAGGGGTTTGAGCTTATCAAAGGCATTTTGGCCTTCTGTGGTCCACATCAGCTTGGCACTGGATTTGGTACTGTCCAGCCCCTTCCCCATAGTTTTTAATAGGTCTGTGAGCAGGAGGGCCACCTGAGCGAAATTGGCGATAAAATTTCTATAGAAATTAGCGAATCCGAGGAAGGATTGAAGCTGCCTACGGGTGCGAGGGGCTTCCCACCGCAATACGTCTCGCACCATAGCCGGATCCATTTATAGACCCCTGGGCGAAATCCTGTAGCCCAGGAAATCAATCTCCGACTTGTGGAACTCGCATTTAGACAGTTATGCTTATGCAACATTTGAAGCACCTTCCTCACCAATTTCACACGTGACTCTTCATCGGGGGAGTACAACAAGATATCATCAATGTAAATAAGGCCCCCCCGAAATTGGTGTTCATGCAACACTTCCTTGATCAAGTTCATAAACACCCCCGGCGCTCCCTGGAGACCAAACGGCATAACCTTGTTTTTGAATTGCCCCAGAGGGGTATTGAATGCAGTCTTATATTCATCCCCCTCTTTGATGAGCACTCTGAAGTATGTATCTCGTAAGTCCAGTTTGGAAAAGATTTTCCCTTTGGCCACCTCCGCCAAGAGGTCTTTGATTAGGGGGAGGGGGTAGGCATTGGTGGCTGATACTGCGTTCAGGCCCCAGTAGTTCATACACAAGCACAACCCCCCATCCTTTTTCCTCCCGAACAACACAGGAGCCACAAATGGGGAGGGGGCGGGGCGAATGAAACCCCGAGCTAAGTTTTTATCAATGAACTTCCACAGTTCCTCCTTCTCCGTAGGGCTCATCGCATAGATCTTACTCTTGGGCAATTTATGACCCGGTAACAGCTCAATGGCACAGTCAGTATTGCAGGGGGAGGGCAATTCATCTGCTTCTTCCTCCTCGAATATCCGAGCCAAATCCCAGTAGGCGGGAGGGATGGCATTCAGCTCCTCCTTAGCTAGACAGGCTCTAACTGGTTCATCGGGAGGTGTCATTCCCCAGTTAGGATCCCAGCCATGCTCATGGCATTTGGGAGAGATAAAACACACCTGCCTCTCCTCCCATAGGATGTAGGGATTATGATTGTGTAGCCACAGGCTCCCCAAAACCAGCGGGAACTGTGCCACCAGAGTGATGAAAAATGGCCGGTGTTCCCAATGGGTACCCGCCCCCATCCTTAAAGGGACAGTCTGATATTTACACGGTTCTTTCATGGAAGAACCGTCCATCTGCGTGAAGACGACGGGGTCAGGTAGTTTCTCCACAGGGGCCCCCAACCCCGTCACCAGGGAAGGATTGATTAAGTCTCTGGCACACCCTGAGTCAATGAGAGTGCGCACATGGATGTGTGTGCTCAGCTCTGGGTTCATCACAGTCACGAAAAAGAGGGAAGGGTAGTTGCTCACCATGTGTGATGCAGGGGGAGGTTGGACCTGCTGCTCTGCACTGCTCACAGCAGGTCCCGGCCTTTTCCTGCCAGCTCTTCATCCGCACTGATGGTCAAGCCAGACCCCTCCTCATCTATCCCAAACTGGAGAACTCGTTGCACCTTCACTTTAGCAGGCTCTTTCTTCAACAGAGTGTCTGGATGCTTCTTCCCTCTGTCCTTACCAGGAACCTGCGCCCCGGCTACTTCCGAGCAATCAGCAGCGAAGTGGCCGCCCTCCCCACATTGGAGGCAAAGACCTTGTTTCATTCGGAGGTCTCGAGTACCATTTTTGGGCCTTGGCAGCTTCGGTTTGGACCCAGCGACCTGCGGGCGGGATCCCAGGGCAGGCCCATCGATCTTATTCATCTGAAGACGCACCTCTGCGTCAGCTGCCTCATGCATCTAGGCCGCAAACAAGACGGGGTGAACGCTCCTTAGGATCATTTCACGGATCTCCGAGTGCAGCCCCACTTGATACTGCTCCACAAGCACACCATCCGGCCACCCATGCACTTTAGCCGCATAGCACTGGAACTTCTCGGTGTACTCATGCACCATCCTCTTGCCTTGCTTCAGGGTTCTCAGGTGATTTTGAGCCCTCTCGTTCTCAAGTGGGTCATACTGCGTGCGCAAGGTCCACATGAAGGCCTCCACCTTGCGGAGTTCCAGGCCCCTGGAGTTATGCGGGTTAACGTACCAGTACGCCACTCTCCCACGAAGCTGAGCAGCTATATAGTCCAGCCTCCAAGCATCGGAGGGGAAAAGGTGACCCCAGGTTTGCATGAATTTCCCCACATGCACCACGAAGAATGCCAACCTTTCAGGGGTCCTGTCAAATTTGGTGTCCAACGATCCTTTCGGCACCAGTCCAGGCACAACAGGGATAGGTCCTTGGGGGAGTGGAGCTGTTCCTGCGGAGCCTGATTGCTGTTGATCTGGAGGCACTTGACCCGGTGTTTGGGGTGCTGGAACTGACTGGCGTTGCCGCAGCTCCTCTTGCACCACTCGAGCCACCAGGCAAGGGATGTCCAGCAGCGACTCCTCCACCGTCTGAGTGAGCCTGACTTGTGCCGGCTCCATCTGGGACAACTGCTCTTCCAGCCCCACGCCTTCCTCTCGCGAGCCGACATATACTCATAGCAGCTCCCACGCAAGGTTCCAGGGGGCCCCAGAGTCAGAGCCCATGACTCTCTCGTGTCACTGTGAAAGGTGGTCCAGGCGAACTCCTGGGTACCTTGCGGCTTCCAGTAGACCGAGCCCCCTTCAGCCCCTTGTGCCGGCTCCAGTCGGATCTGGGTTGTGGTGACTAGCGTAGTCGGCGCAGTCACCACAGTAGTTGTCGGCATGGGTCGCTCATCAGCCGAGGTAACAGCAATCTCCTCTTCTCCGCTCATCTTGCAAGTTGCGGGTAGAGGTTAGATGATTCCTAACATTCTGTCAGGTACTCCAATAACTCAGTAACAACACACAGGACCTAAGTAGGTTCAGTTTATTGATCAGAGTAGAGGACACTCCATGAACTTCTGTGTTAGGAATAACATAAGATGTATGGGCTAAACAGTTATACCCCAGTTATACCCCAGCAGAGGCCAATGAGCAAACACCTGCAAGCGTGGGAAAGAGCTAATGGACTCAGTGAGGGCAGGAGACTGGCAAAGGAGGCAAGAGCTAATGGACTCAGTGAGGGCAGGAGACTGGCAAATACACAGTTAAACATGAAATCATTACACAGTCCCTAACCATCCCCGGCCAGGGATCCCTGTACTCTTCAAAGCCTATTTCCCCACATAACTGGTTAAGTAATTGTCTTCTCTCTCTAGAAGAATTATCGCTGTACCTAGCCTGAATGGAAGTCTCCTTTTCCTTCCCAACCTCTAGTCAACTTTTCCTGGTCTCCTGTCCTGATTGTGGGAAGGATTCTCAGTTAAACTGAAAATCCACTGACTTCAGTCAGGGCAGAATCAGAAGCTTCCTAGCATAAGGCTCTCTCTAGACTTCCCTGCTCAGTCGAATGCTACCCAATCTGATTGCCAGAAGCAGCCTTTCACTCAAGGCTCTGTGCTTCCATGAAGCATTAATCCTGCCACAGACTTTAGTTGTACACACAGCACTTCCAAGACTCTCAAAAAAAGATGCAGTCCCTCACAGAAGGTGCTGATAACGCTCAGCCTGAGGCGGCCTGGAAGAAACTGACTCCTCCCCCAACCATTCACACTCGTCCTTCTCCAAATGGGTACTCCCCCCCCCTTCTGGCATGGCTGGAGGGGGGTGTTTTACAACCACTCAGCATGGGTTGCCAACACCTGGGCCCTGGGGCTACCTCAAAAGGCTTTTGTGTTCACTAGCCAGGGTCTCGTCCTCCTCAGTGACCTCCAAGGAGTGTGGGCCTCTGTGTTTCGGCGGCTCTGATGGCCTGACCTTTTGGGGAGGGGGGAGGGGGGAGACGCTGTCCTAGCTGTTGCTGGGTAACTTGGCGGGAAGTGAGAAGCCCTCCCCTTGCAGAGACTGCTGTCTCACCTGCCTTTGCCAGCTTCCAGTGGGTACCCTGTTGGGATCTGCCCTTATGGCTGGTGCTATGTTGGGGTCTGGCCTCATGGCCACAAACCCCTAAAAGGGAGGTCTGCTCGCCCCGAATGGTAGCTCATCTCTGCATCTCCCACAAGCCTGGGTGGCTGTCTGGGATTTGGTTGGCCTCCCTTAGGGGGGTATTCTATTACACAGGTTCTCTGGCCCAACATCCATCCTGTACTGCCCCATCATGCATGGTATGGTCTTACCAGTTTCTTCGGTGTCCTGCACGAGGTAGAGAGAAGTAACCTGAAAACCCAGGTTGCTCTCCTCTCTCTCTAAGTGGGCACCTCTATGACTCCCAAAGCCTCAGGTGGCGGGGGGCCTCTCCTTCCACCTCCGGTGTCTCATGCAGCGAGGAGTCAGCAACCCAGAGCCTTGGACTGCTCTCCTCATGCAGCCTCTCTCACTTCCCGCAGAGGGTTCCATGTGGCTCTCCTCACACTGCCATCCTAGCCCCCATCGGGAAGCTCTGCACAGATGCCTCTATGCCTCCCAAAGCCTCAGGTGGTGGTGGGCCTCTCCTTCCACTTCTGGTGTCTTGTGCGGCAAGGGATCAGTAACCCAGAGCCTCGGGCTGCTCTCCTCACACAGCCACTTCCGCTGCCCTTGGAGGGTTCTGCATGACCACTTCCATGCCTCCTGAAGCCTCAGGCAACAGAGGTCTCTTCTCTGGTGTCCCCCATGGCAATGGGGCTGCAACCCAGAGCTCTGGATTACTCCTCTCACATGGCCAGTCTCACTGCCATCAGGGCGGCTCTGCATGGTCGCCTCTACATCTCCCAGAGTCTCGGGTGGAGGAGGCCTCTCTTTCTTCCTTCTTCAGAGTCCAGCACAACAAGGAGGCTGCATCCACTTTCGTCACTGTCAGCAGGTTACTCACAGCTGCCTCAACACCTCCTGAAACCTCAGGTGATGCACGTCTCTCCCTTTTTTTAAAAAAAATTCATACTCTGTACCTTTTCTTACTTGAAATTTGTATATTATTATTTTCGCTTGGAGTAGAGCTCTAGCCTCCTACCCGAACAGTAGGGCTATCGAAACTGGAGGGTCAGTCTAGGTCTCTCCAAAAGGAGCCATGCAAAAATTTGCATAGCCCTACCTGAGCGAGGAGAGGCGTGACCTAACTAGTCTGGATTACTCCCCCCACACACACTGAAGAAGAATGGGCATGCAGGTGGTCCAGGAATCTGAGAGCATGGGCAGTGAGAGGTCTCATCAAACGGTGGGGGAAGGATGCACAGGCATCTGGGAAGAACAAGGGAGTCCACTCCCCATCAATGTTCCCTCTAAGCTGTGGAGTCTGGTGAGCAAAAATTCAACTTTGTGAGCTACTGGCATTAAAGTCATGAGCAAGCAATTTGCCTACTGCAAATTGAGCCCTCCTTCCTGAGCTAAGAAAAAAATGTGTGAGCCGGAGGCTAAAAAACTGTGAGCTAGCTCACACTAACTCAGCTTAGAGGGAACACTGCTCCCCACCTACCCATTCTGGAACCAGCCCTGGCTAGCAGCACTGAGGTGGGTCATTTTGATCAGTGAATCAACAAAGGAGGAAGGCATTATATACCCCTGCTCCCAGCACCACATCCCAGATAAAATCAGCAAATATATATTATATGTAAGATTTTCTCTAATTTAAGGAAATTTGAAAAAAGCCAGCTGGCTACCTGTGTAAACAAGACTTAATTATATCTGAACTGGTTCTAAATAAAGCTTCTCTTCATCAACAGTACTCATGCCAGCCAGCTTAGGTCCCGTTCCCATTACTCACTCAGTACAGCACAGAGACTGAAGACTACAACATCTGAATCTCACAACTTTCTTCTTTGCTTCTATCATTATTTCAATAAGCGGTTCTCTGCTCCTATATTGATATATTCACTTGAAAACTGCTTACCTAGTTTTTTCTCTGCCACTTCAAAGTACTCCTCAATTTTAGGTCTAAGATTGTTTTTGCTTTCTGATTTTAAGGAATTTGGTGTTAAACCTCTTCTCGTTGAAGACTTGATTTCTGCCTTACTGGGTTCATCCATGTTCTCATAAATAGCTTCAACTGTAATAATTTTGGCAAGATTAAAAGTTGTCTCCAAATAGGACTCAGATACAGCTTAGGCTAAAAGACAGTTATGCCCTCACTGAATGACAGACCCACAGATTGTGATCAACAGAACCACCTTCCTTCAGTTAACAGACTGACTCTCCTTAGAACTTTCAAGTCAAGATCTCTATGACATCATTCAAGTGCTGACATATCAAATCTTCTCTCATAAACAGGTCACACTAAAACAGTGAGGCAAATGTGAAGATTATATTATCCCATATTCTGTTACAAACACTCAAAATACAGAAAAATATGCATTATCCCGAGAATTTGATACTGGACTTGAAAAAGCAGTTACTGCTTATTTGTCT